TGTTACTTTCTTCATCAATGAAAAGCAAGTAATGCCCTGTCCACTTCACACCACAGTCTCTTGCAAACACAATGTCAATATTAAAAAAGATGGAAGTTATAATCGGAAGAAATTCATAATGTTTCAAATTCAAAACCAGTTATAAGGGAATGTATACATCATTATTCCAATATAAGTGTTACATGGATTTCAGCTGAAACTGATTTCTATAAGAAAGGCCGATACGCCACACCCTGTGATGCAAACAATGCCAGCATTTTTATATGATGGCCAAAGCTTGAAAAGAAATAACCTGCAAAACATCTGTTTCATGGGTAGAGGCAAACATCAATCAAATCATCATCGATGCCTGACAAACAATAGCAAGGATAATCATCTAAAAAATATGGTCTGCAACATATTTGCAGGTCTCTCACCTCAATCACGGGAGATGATGAGGGTTCTCTCATCCAAACAAACCACCAGTCCCCACTTCCCCTTGCTGCAACTCCTTTCTATGTTGCTCTTCCAAAGGATCTGGACTCTTCAGCATTCTTCTCACACACCTAACCAACATACCGAAATACCTTATTTTAAACTTCAACAACAAATTAAAACCCAATTTACTAAAATAAATTGTACTTGTCTCCTTGTTTCTTTAGCTCAATACCTGTCTTGAGCATGCTGGACAGGGAAAGTGGGCATGAAAGCTTTAGTCATGGGAAGAGGAACTTCACGAAACCACTCATGGTTAGGAGCAGCTTCAGCTGTTATACGCTGAAGGTGATATCACAATGCTCAGTAAACTATCTACATATATTATCAGAAGGCAACCAAAACCTTTATGCAAGTCAAGATATATATACCTCTTCAGGATCATAAGTAAGAAGTTTATTCAACAAGTTGAATCCTGCATCAGAGAGAACAGGTGTTCCAGTGAATGATGTTACTGGAAATTTCTTGTGCAAAAGATTATACCTGAAAAGAAAATCAGTAATTAATACAAACAAGAATTCTATGTTACTGATCTGTTAGCAATGGAGGCCAGAAAGCCACACCAGAATCACCCAAAGCTGGAAGTCTGAGAAACAGTATGGAAAACAAGAAGGCCCGAATATTACAGAGCAGAATCTAAAATAAATTTATAAATGATGTAACACGTACTGATGTTTGACAAAATTGACCTTGACTCCAGGAAGCTTGGGAAAACCAGGCCATATTGTCTCATTTGGTGTGCCAAGGGTTCTGAAAATCTGCAGTCGTAAATATCAACACAAAAGATCCAAGTTCATTAACCATCATGGCAAGACTGAAACATTCCAATAAGTTAAGGGCTAGATAGTAATTATTAATGAAAGATGAATACAATTAACTCAATTCACCTTGTCAAGTTGATCAAATTCAGTTTTCCCATTAAAAAGTGGTTCTTTAGATGGTAGTTCAGCCATAATACAACCCAAAGACCACATATCAATTGCAGTGGAATATTGTCTTGCTCCCAAAAGAAGTTCAGGTGCCCTGCAAAACCAGGATGAAAAGTTTTTAAATATTCCGGAAAGTAAATGCTCAGATAATTAATCAGGCAAACTTACATAAATGGAACGTGAAAAAGCAAATGATTAACCTTAAGCCATAAACCTTTACAAACTCTAAAAAGTGGCTAGCACCCTACAGCATATGGGTTAATACGTTTCATTAATTAAACAACGAGAAGTCCAAGTAATGATTTGTACAGAAATGCTCATACCTTGTCAAAAGCTACACCATGGAACTCTGACCTAAAGATTTCTTAGGTTTTTAGTATAGAAAACTGAATCAGATAAATAATAAGAAATTTAATTAAAAAGGGAATCTATGTACTTATAATCAATAATCAGAGTCAAAAGCACAGTTCAAAATAGTTTTCCAAATACCCAATCACAACAGAGAATTTAAATATTAATACCAAAAGAAAGGAAGTCTCCAATATATTTCATTTCATTGTACAAATACGAGGACTTAAACCATAATATTTGGCATTAACAACTCACCTGTACCAAAGGGTAACAACCAAATGTGTATATGGTTTTAATGGGCTTCCATATTGACGAGACAATCCAAAATCACAAATCTTCAGTTCACCTTGGTTATTTAAAAGCAGGTTAGACGTTTTCAAATCACGATGGAGAATCCAATTATCATGAAGATACTTGATACCCTCCAGCGGCTAAATAATCAGACATTTAGCCTCACTTTGGCTGAATGGTTGTTTCATCGTCTCCATTAGCCCTTTCAAATCATGTTCCATGTATTCCATCACCATAAAAATACTATCAAGGTTACTCCCTACAACAACTTCTTTAACGTCTACAATAGATGGATGATGAAATGAAAGAAAAATGTTGATTTCCCTTAGAGAGGTCAGAGGAAACCCTTCTCTTTCTTTCTCCATCTTTACCTTCTTCAACGCCACAATTTTCCCAGTCTTCTTGTCCCTAGCTCTATATACAACACCATAAGTACCTTCGTTTATCTAATTTAGTCTCTCAAATTCATCAACACTCCTACATCCCTGAAGCATGTTTACACTTCGTAAAGGAGCTGGAGCTTCTGGCGTTCCAGATGAATCCTTGTCATTCTCAGAACCTGTATCAGACTCATTAACGCTACTGTCATTTCTATCACGTTCAAATTCAATCTCCATGTAGCCATCCTTCTCTGAATCATTTACAGGGTAAACATCTCCACTTCCAGACTTGGGACAGGAACGTGATTCATCAGATTCGGATGATTTGGCTCTATTCCCCCTTGAGTCTTCCATCTTAAGCTCCCCAGGCTTAGGAGATGCTGAGTTATCGAGTAATCTATTAACGGATGATTCTGAAAGAGGTAATTTTTCCCTCCTTTTAGGCATCTCCTCATCTTCTAAAAAATCGCCCTCATCACCTGGAGAACTATCACCAACTGCCCATCTTGAGGAAGATATATGTCGGGTTTGTACAAAATCTTCATCTTCTAGCTGCACAAAATCCAAATTATTACCCTGCCGTTTTGGAAGTGATAGATCCAAATCCACTGCAGACTGCAATGGTGCATATCCAACGGTTTTTGCAACTGGCGAAGGAGACTGTGATTCCAGGTTTTTACTTTCTCTGACAGGTGATATCTGTACAGCCCCAGCAGTGGTACTGTTAGGTGAGTTGCGGTAAGCTTTCGGAAGTGGTGGTGGAGGACGAAGAGCCATAACTGGATGCAAATTCCTACTTTTGGAGAAACTACTTAAATCCTCACCTCTGTCCCATACAATAGGGGAGAACTTCCTTTTCCTTGCAACAGGGGACGCAGCCCCATTCTCCATTGCCTATGTAGCCTTACTATCTTTAACAACTAACTCGGACTCAATGACATCCTCTGACCCACTCTCTCTAGACAGCTCACCAGGCTCTTTATCTACCACCATTCGATGTAATTCGCATTGCCTGGGCCCAAGGTTACCTCCACCACCACCACTACTGCCACCAGAATCACTTCTACTCAAAGAGGAACGATACTCACCAGTTAACACTTTCCTCTCCTTCATATCCTTTTGTCTAACGCTATCCCTAGCCTCCCATACTCGACCACGGTTATTATCACGACTACCATTACTATATGGATCATGCTCTTTAGAATTAGCAAAACCACGTCTTACTACCTCGACCTCAGATTTTCTGTCACTGAACTCGTTCTGGCTATAGCTCCCATGTCTCCCAGCGGCCATATATAAATTTCAAGAAAATCCTAAAGCCTCAAATCCAATTCAAGAGACTCCCGCTAAATTGTCTACTTATAAACCCAACCCCCAACCCCCTAAAACAACAAAGTTCACGACAACAAATTCACAAATTTTGCACCAAAAAAAATTAAATCCGAATTCAAGGGCATCAACATTAGCCAATAAAAGCTGTTAACATGCCCAAACCGAATATCACATCCTTCAACGTGTGTAGCTGGAAAATTCAACGCATGCAGCCTGGAAATTTTAGGGGGAAACAATTGAATTGTGGTAGAAATTAAAGCAAAAGGACGAAGACGATAAACCCTATAAATATTTCTGAAAAACTGAGCGATGCATGGATTCTTCTGGTCCCTGGGCGAAATTGAGAGAGTAAATATAACTGGGAGTGGATATGGCTTACCGATCGAGACGAAAAAAAGACAGTACGGAAAACAATTGAATTGTGGTAGAAATTAAAGCAAAAGGACAAAGACGATAAACCCTATAAATATTTCTGAAAAAACCGAGTCAAACTCGACTATTATCGAGTAGACTCAAACTTGAAAACTTTAAATGTAAGTTTAACTCGATTTAAAAAATCACGAGTTTAAAATTTTCAAATTCAACTCCAACTCTAAAAATTAAATTAAAACTCAATTCGAACTCGAAAAGATTCGAATTTAAAAAAAAATTCAAAAGTTCAACCAAACTCGAGACGCTCAAATGCTCACCACGTGGCTCAATAAATTAAACCATTTAATTTGAGTTTTAATTTATAAGATCATTTGTTGAACACTTGCTTATATCTTAAAGATGAGGGATATAAGACCATTGAGTTTAAACTTTAATTTATAGGATCACTTGTGGAACACTTTCTTCTATCTTAAAAATATAAGATATAAGGTCACATGCTGTGTGTGGGATATACGACCAAAACTTCACCCTCTTTCCCGTACTCTTGACCCTATTCAACACCCTGTTCATCGGAGACTGCTAAACAAGCTTCATTGAAGCCTCCAACACAGTAACATCAACATCATCATCAATATCAATATCAATATCAATATCAAGGGATACCACCATCAAGTTCGGTGGCACCAAACGGAGAAGACCGTGCCAACTACTCCTGCAAAAACTGCAGCAACTTCTTTCTTGGCATCTTCTCCAGCAGCGAAGCCAGTGGTTACTAATACCACGGAGAAAGTGTCACCTGCAAAGACACCTCCAACTGCAACATCAGTGGCAAGCTTTTACCAATCTAATACCTTCCTCCCCCCAATACCTTACTTTTGGAAATTCAGGCTTTTTTGTCTCTACTGAATCAGTGGTGATACTATTTCCCTCAACTCAGAGATGAATGTTGACAGAGTACTAAGTTTTTTTGTCGGATAAAAGTTTCAAAATGACCCAGTTATTGTATAATTATGATGAATGTGGACAGATTACCGAGATTTTTTAATGGATTAAAGTTTGAAAATGACTTCCAGTGTTTGTCTGATTATATCTTCCGATTTACACTGGACAAGATGATGTCGGTTAATATTTCAAGTTCTAAATATCTCTCCCATTCATCACTTAATCTTTCTGGCTCTGGCCTAGAGTCTCTAATTGGTGTTTTTGGGTTATCAGTTGATAAGTTGTGACTTTTCATACAGAATGAAATATGTCGAATGAGATTGGATGATGCAGTGCTTGATGAACTTGTTCGTGAGTACTGTGTTTACAGGGGAATTGTGGAATCTGGTATTTTCATTCCATCTAATAAAACTTAACATCAATTTCTTTTTACTATATATGTCTCGACTGGAATGTTGATCAATTTGTCCTTTCTCAGGAATGAAAACACTTTCTGAACCAGTAAAAGGTAATCCGCTTGAATTTGGGTGGTGTTCATCACCAGAATCTTCCGTTGATGTGGATCATAGAGGTGCTAAGCGTTCAAATAGTGAAACTTCTGCTTCTACTAATCTGAGCAACATGCAAGGAACTGATGTCAAATTAAGATTTGCTTCTGAGCCCACCAATAACCACGAGGATTATAGCCCCAGTGGGTCACATCATTCTGAAAATTCAAGTCTCTTGAGAAACAGAAGCCATGGAGCTGGCGAAAGAAGTAAACGTAAGCGATGAAGCGGAAGATATGATGAACTGGATTTTATTTCTGATAATCATTTTAATTGATGTGGGAAACAAGAGGTTAGTACTGCATTACAAATTGCCTGTACAAGGATATCAAAGTTATAAAAGTTACATTTTGGAATTTTTTTTGTGTTTTACTATAATTGATTAATAATAGAATAGTTTTATAACAGTTGCATTACAAATTACTATAATAGAATAGTTTTTATTATGAAGGGAGTGGAAAATACCAACGTGGAAGAAAAATATGAAATTGTTCTCCGGATGAAGGAGCTAGCTAGCAGAGGAATGGCTGCTGAGGTTGTGGAGGAAATTAATGCATTAGATCCAAACTTCTTTGAGCAAAATCCTGTTTTATTGTTCCAACTCAAACAGGTTAGTGTAGTTTGTACCAGCTGTTTTGTTGTGGAGGAAATTAAAGCAACCTGAAAATCTATTTAGTGGTTGAATTTTTTTCTTCTAATAGTTAGTGGTTGAAGTTAGATGCTGCATATGCAGGTTCATTATTTTTGGCCCCTAGATGACACTGCTCAAAAGGAATTTGAGAAAATGTGGTGTCAAGTTATAAACCAGGCTGGAGGAGAATTCACATCTAGTTCTGTTCCAGTGATGTTCGGAATGTAATTGTTAATCTAAGGGAATATGTTTTAGATCCATTAATTCTAGTTTGGTATGTTATAAACATGTATATGCATGTTTAATAAATTTATAGTTTGGTATGTTATATTTTAATTTTTGTATTTCAATCACATTTGTTTAAATTTTCTTATTTGTTTTAAACGTCCAGGTGTCATTTATGTTATTTTCCATATTATTTTAGCTTAAACCGAATAGGATCAATTGCATACAAGACCCTATAGTTTATGCACATTTTGTATTTAAGTCATTGGTTTAATTCCAATTTTGTAAGTTTAATTTTACATTTACGTGAATTTAATCACCATTCTAAAATTAGTATATTTAGCTTAAATTAGTCCTCACATTTAGATTTCTCTTAATTTAGTCCCTGTTTAGGATTGTTTTCTTTAATTAATTGTGTATATTTATTTTGCATGTTGATATGTTTATGTATAAGTATGCGATTGATTTATTTAGGAGTCACATAACATCATTTTGCATAATTTGTATGTTATCTTCATGTGCATAACTTGACCCCTATCACATTATCAGATTTAGGTTTTAGGATTTATGTTTATAGTTTAGGGTTTAGGATTTATTACAAAGACATTAATTAATCGACATGGTATCGATTTATGAGGCAAGTACTAAGTACAATTTATGGTTTATGATTTAAGTTTTAGGGTTTAGGGTTCATTGCAAGGACATTAATTAAAATTTGAGGTAGTTGTATTATAGAATTTTTAATATATGTTTAAAATTTTATAATTATCAATAGTGTATTTTTAATAATGTAATTTTAAAAAATCTATAATTATAATATAACATTTTTCGAGCTGCTCATGAGCTTTTCGAGTCGAATATCGAAAAGCTCGTTTAGGCTCGTTAAGAACTCGAGTCATGCTCGAGCTCGAGTCCATTCGATTCGAGTATTTATCGAGCCTTGATCGAGTAGCTCGCTATTTGTCTCGTCTCATTTACAACCCTAGTAGGGATGGCAAAAAAATCGAATCCGTCGGGGAAAATCGGAAACCGAATTAAACGGGTCGGATTCGGGGACGAGGAAAAACCGAATGTTTTAAACGGGGGCGAGTTTGGTAATCCCCGCCCCGATACCCAGCCGGATAAATATTAAAAATAATAATTATTATTATTATATATATATATTAATAAATTTAATTTAATTTAAATTAAATATATATATATATATAATATTTATATATTTAATTTAAATATATATATATCGGCCCGATACCTGTTTAAATAAACGTTTATGCTAAACATGGATACCCGTTTCCTCGCGATTTTCCTCGATTACCCGATAGAGATCCCGTTAAAATCCCCACGATTTTTAAACGAGGACGGGTACGGAGTTTTTAAACAGTAACGGAGATAGGAGACCAATCCCCGGCCCGAAACCACCCCGTTGCCATCCCTACTAACGAGGCCGTGAGTGGGAAAACGAAGGCCGGGAAGTTTTGTGAGCTGAAACGCTGTGTTTTATTCTTTTGTTTTGCGTTTACTATTCAGGTAAAACTACTTTTAGGTCCTTTTAGTTTTTCAATTAGATAAATTGATCCCTCTAGAAAAATCTATATAATCTCTATTGATTTGTAAACTGAATAATTGAAAATAATGGTCACATGATTTTTTTTTCATTATTTTGTATATAATTTTAATTGAAATAATAATAAACTTCATATTGACTAATTCTAAAAAAATATATTAAGTTAAAATATATTGAAATAACTCTCTAAATATTACTTTGTCACTTTAAAGTTATCTTAAATTTCAAGTCAAATTTGTTGTCTTATTCCCTTTATTATATTTACATTTAAGATTGTGTTTATATTATATATATTTTAGTACATTAAAAATTAGGAAGTGATTTGTAATTAATTGTCATTGATTGGTTCAAGTCAAATAATTTTAATTCATGCAATGCATGTACCAATAGATAAATTTCATTAATTTTGTTGAATCTAATGATAAAGAGTTGAATCAAATAATAAGGAAATTGATGTTCTGAGTAAACACCTCCATATAATCTAAAAGTACACCATACATACATACATACATACATACATACATACATACATACATACATACATACATACATACATACATACATATATTCATACATACATATATATATATATATGTATGTATGTTGGAAGAAGAAGGATTGAAGACAGTTTCGGCATTGAACTTTGGGACTCTGCAGAGTTACTACCAGCAAAGGGAAGGCAACTTGAAGGAGAATGAAGAAGGAAAATGACCAGTTCTCCTTATAAAATCCGCCCTTTGTGAAGTCCTTATAGCTTTCTCGTTTAGCTTTGATTCTGCATTTGCACGTTTCTCTTCGGCTATTCTCCTTGAGGCTGCAATTTTGTTTGCGCACCTTTCTTTTGCCCGAGCTTTCAGTCTCTCGGCTTTCGCCTACAACGCATAAAACAACAAATTCATGGCAATGGAACATCTAATCTACCAATGCCTCTAGTATAAGATTCCGACCTGATTCGACTCCGGATATAGTCGGAGCTCGTAGTTACCGGAGGTGTTAGACAAATAAAGTAATCTAGTACTATTTCATATCAATGGATCTACCAAAGGAGTTACCTCTATTTTCTTCATTTCCAATTCAGCTTTCCTCTTTTCATGATTTTCCCATGCCTGTATCTTCACTTCTTCACGCTTATACCTAGAAAGCAACACATATCTCATATCACATTAGACTATAAACATATGCTTCGAATTTGACGTTGTGAATGAAGCAAACTGAGAATAGCTGATGCATATTAGCACTTACCTTGCCATATATTTAGCACGTTCGGCTTCATCCCAAGCCATGGCTCGACTTTCCAAACTACGCTGCTTACTAGCCTGACCCGATTCTTGTCCCTCGAGCCTATCCGAGCCATTTCCTTTAACAGCAGCATCAGTTTCACCTCTCCCCTCGGCTAATGGTGGTCCTCCATGTTTGCATCTCAGTGGGGTCGAAGATCCTGAAGAAATAGGACTCCTTCCAGCAGGAGTGGTGGCTCGTAAGGGCGTTGTGGTTCTCGACGGTTCTTGGCTTGCAATTGGAGTCATCTCGGTCCCCATATCTCTCACACATATCGATCGAACACCCGACACCGAGTTCTCCCCCGGGTTGTCTACTATTCGCCAAACAAGCCCGTCGAAATCAACCGTCTTCTTTTCGCCTTCGAACTCGGGCGACATCTTTTCATCTTGTTCCTTTTGTAGGCAAGGCGCTATCAGTCTTCTATCATCGGCGTTTGAGTCTCGAGGCTTGGCTTTGGGTTGTACCTTCTTGTCTCGACTCCTGGACAACCCCACCAGCCATTTCTGCGCATCGTCCCACTTCGAAGGTGTCGTCGGCTTCCCCAAGACGGTTCGATGATGAGACTGAGAAGCTTTATGAAACTCGAAACTTATGGCACCACCGCCATAGCTGCTTGAAATTTCACTAGCCGGTCCAAGGCTATACCAGCCTTCATCTTCAACGGATCTCATTCTCCAACACACATAAACCAAATACCAAACCAAAGGTTGTGACTTTAGCCTCGGACAAAGCTTGAAGCTTATCTTCAACAAGTAACCCAAAGCTTAACTAATCACGATGTTTAAAACACTAAAAACACTCACAATGTTTAAAACACTAAAACACACTCATTGATTAAGCAGTGAAGAACAAAGGGCGAGGGCAATGGGTTTAGTTTCTTTTATTTTTTGAAGAAACGTAGTGCAACATCATAGCAGAGAATGATGGTTTAAAACCATGGATCTTTGCGATGCATTGGCAGAGATGAAGATAAGAGTTTCAGGGTTTCAGAACTTCAGATCCGTTGAACATTAAAATATAGTGAAAGACAAATGCTATGCATTGCTGGAAACTTGAACCAACCAAAAATCAAATGTAACCCACTTTGGCACAGTAATTTGTGGTGAAAAAATGGAAGAAATTGGGAATTATCAACTCTTTGGGAACTGTATTTTAAAGAGAAAACTCAGAAAAGCGTTGCTTTCAACGGTTACTTGGTATATAATCTAATCTCATTTGTCTCTAAATTGCCGGTTTAATATACTCGAATTATGAATTAATTTTGGTGTCTCGATTAGACATTTTCTCAATATATTCTTTGAAAAAAAAAGGTGTTCTCAAATCTGTATTGGAAGAGAAATTACATTCATCTCGAAACAAGTGATTTAGTATTTAGGGAATTATTATTATTTTTAGAAAATTTGAATTTAAATATATTATTTATAAAAATATTTAATTTTTTATTATCAAAAGTTAAAAAATTAAATATTTTCATACTTATTATTAAAAATCTAATTTATAAATTGACCTTAGTGTCACAAATTTTTCAGAAGCAAATTTATTTACCTATTATAAATAAAAATACACCAAAATATAAAATTCAAATTATATATATGTACTAGCATAAAATATCAAGTTTCTACATCCAATTATAAGCTTGTTTTTATCTTTTTAACATAATTTTTGTTTTTACTAAATAAATCAATTTTTAATAAATATGAGTAAGACACGAATCAAACAACTTCAGTAATTAAAAAATATTATTAATTTTTAAAATCTCAGATTTGAATGTTATATATGTCATGATATATGCATTTAATATAAAATATTAAAAAATTTAAACATATATTATAGTTACGTTACTATATAATAGAAAAAAATATGAAAAGGTGTAATGTTAGATCAATTAATAATGTTAGATTAGGATGAGTGAGAGGGTGTCGGGCCAAGTGGGGGAACAGAGGTTTAATAACGTGGGGGCGGTGGGGAGCAGCTGCTCTGAAATCATTCACGTGCCCGAAATCATAATAAATTAGTGATTAAAGAAACGATATCACAAATAAAAATATACATATTTATGTGAAAACCCTAAAAAAAACAGATTGGAAGTATAGAATTTTCGTTATATCAACTACAAATACAATATAATTTGGATGATTAATATTTTAACTTTTTTACATTTTTATGTAATTTGAAGTTAAATTTAGATATTTAAACTTACATTTACATAAATAATATGAATTATAATCAAGAGCGGAACCAATAATTTATTGAACCAGGTGTTAATCTATTTTTTTATATAAATATAAATTTATAATCGAGGAGGCCATGTAAATTTTTCTTTATTTATTTTTCAATATTAATTAATACTTAAACAAGAATTGACGGGGTCTAAGACTCCTCTTAACCCAGTAAAGTTTGTCCATGATTATAATATTAAAAAATATTTATTCGTATTTATTCTAAATTTACGGTGAATGCATATATATATATATATATATATGTATTTTTTATGTGATCTAATATTATCATTTGCTAGTTAAAAAATAATATCATAGATGGTGTTACTTCTTTCTCAAGAAAATGGTGTGGGCCTCTTGGGTCTCTAAAAGCTTTAAAATCTAGGTTTGGATCTGGGTACTTAAAACCCCAATTCTGGAAGCTCTTAAAACCCTAGAATTATCCTATATAAGTTGTCCTATCTTCGTTCCTTTCTAGTTTCTTCTTTTAGGCGGCAGAAGTAGCTTAGGCAACCATTTTAGCAGCCATGGTACTCATCTTTCTTCGTTCATATTCTCATTTTTTTCTATTTTTCGGTGGTGATTGAACACTAAACTTGTTTTTTATTTTATTCTCAGGTGAAGTATTCGAAGGAGCCAGATAACCCTACCAAGTGTAAAGTCACATCTGTTCTCTCTTTTTTTGAGCATTTTAATCTCTCTTTATGCCCATTTTTTGTTGGAGAATGAAATCATGGTTCTTGTTGATCTTGTGCAGCCTGCAAGGCAAGGGGCTCTGATCTCAGGGTTCATTTCAAGGTATTATAGCTTTATTTTGCTATAATTTGATCTGATCTTCATATAAATTTATGGGTATTGGTTTGCTTGTTGCTTAGGAGTGTCTGTTATTATACATGGTTGAAGATTCAATGTACTATGTTTGCTTGTTGCTGTTGTTTCATGATTGTTAACTAGATGTCAAATGGCTTGGTTCTGCTGTTTTCTTGTATTTATAAATATTCATATTGTTGTCTATATAAGCAGCGGCGAATCATTTATGTTTTTTCTTTCATGTCTGCTCGAGGGAGTATCTTTAAGTGATTTTTTATAATCTTTTAGGACGCATTGTTTTAGCTTTTTTTATTTCTTTTGGCTTGTTATTTGGATTCCTAAACCTGTCGAAAAAGCAGGGTCTTGTTGCATTTTGCGAGTGTGGTTTTCGTCAACTTCAGGAAAATTACTTGGATTGTTATTAGGCGAACCTCTAGATCTTCTTGGTGACTGAAGGTTCAGTAAATGATGCCACATTTTTATTATTTTGGAAAGATTTTAGTGTTTGATTAATAATGATACGGAAATTCTTTTAATTGTTTTTTAAAGGATTATCGATCTTGGTTCGTTTTGTTTTTGTTTGCCCACTTGTTATGTTTTTGATTTGCTGGTGATAATCTTCGAGTCTCGTACCTGGTTATTGCTCTATAGAACACAAGAGAGACTGCGTTTGCTATCAGGAAGTTGCCATTGGTAAAGGCTAAGAGGTACTTAGAGGATGTTATGGCTCACAAACAGGCCATACCTTTCCGACGCTTTTGCCGTGGTGTAGGACGTACAGCTCAGGCAAAGAACAGGCATTCTAATGGACAAGGTCGCTGGCCTGTAAAATCTGCCAAATTCATTCTAGATTTGCTGAAGAATGCTGAGAGTAATGCAGAGGTATGTTTGCTGCTGTGCTTTATTTTATTCTTGTTGGTATTCAGGTCTATTAATTTCCGTTCACAACAAACTTAAATTAATTTTGCAGGTTAAAGGTTTGGATGTTGATGCACTCTACATTTCTCACATCCAGGTTAACCAGGCTCAAAAACAAAGGCGTCGTACTTACCGTGCCCATGGAAGAATCAATCGTACGTTTTAGAACCTTGCACTTATCCTTCTATGCACTCTATTTTGTCTTTGTATGTTTATGACTGTTTCTTTTGCTAGCCTACATGTCTTCCCCTTGCCACATCGAGCTAATTTTGTCCGAGAAGGAAGAGCCTGTCAAGAAAGAGGTAAATTTATAACAAAACTTACAATCTCTTTAGTGTTTGAAAATATGCTGTTAATGTATTTTGGTTGAAAATATCTCCGTCTTCTTCCAGCCTGAGACTCAATTGGCGGCTAGCAAGTCGAAGAAGCCTCAAGTCTCTGCGTAAACGTGCTTCCTCAAGTGAATGATTGGAATTTTAGTCGATGAAAGTTGTATCTCGAACATCTGATTTCTTTCAGAGGAAGTTTTGAAGCAGAATGAGTTGTTATTTAAGATGTTTTCTGAAATCATGTTTTAGTTAAATGTTATCTGAGATTCCTCTTGGAGACTTTTTGTTTAATCTACGTCTTTACATCTTGCATGAAGTTAACAAAAAATTGTCATTGCCATAAGTAATAATTAGTGGAAAAGGATCAAAATTGCAAAAGTTGGTTGCCTAGTTCTCAATGTCCTCTCTCACCGCTGATGGACCTAGTGGTTTTAGTAGTGGCTCTGGCAGTGCCGACTTGTTGTCCCTCGAGCGGATGCCGAAGGTCACCGTAGGGAAGAAACAACCTTCTATCCACTCTGGACAACCAAAGGAGTTGTATATATCCCTAGACAAAGCCGAGAGGTGTTAGGAAAGGAGGGGGAGTGGACTGGGAAAAGCAGAGAGGTGTTAGACAGCGTCAGGACGAGGAGACCTAGGAGTCACAAATGAGAGTAATTTTTTTTTTTTCACATAACAAATTCAAAGAACATTAATGTAAAGGATTTATTAGTTACAAAAAACATTTTTCAGTTTTGAAAAGTTGATCCAACGGCTATTGTATCCAGTCTTGCTCAGGATCGCATGGCCATAAAGCATCGCCAGTTCCTTATATATTAAAATCTGAACTTGAATTTTTCCACGTACCGTGCACTCTATTACTTGTTCTTGACTTTGTCTTCCAGAGTTCAGACATTTTCTCCTCCTCTTCGCTTCTGACTTCACTTCCAAGTAAGTTTCCTCTTTGTTTTAAGGTTTACATTTTCCAAAATTTATGATTCGTATTATTTGCTCCTTATGATTCAAGCAGCAAAAAGTTAGGGTCATTCTCACTGCCTTGTGGTTCAGGACCTCCTGCTCTGGCTGAATTAAAGGCAATTAGATAGGGTCTTCGGTTTTTCTACTCGTCAGCTTGGGGGTCCAAGGGTCGACTAATCTTGGAAACTGATTGTAGGAATGCGACTGAGTGAATTAAGAATTCTGATTCGTGTCCATCCTGTTTTGAAGGTATTATTAAGGAAATTGTGTCCCGTGTTACTTCTAAAGAGGTGCTGGTGCGCCTCATTCAGAGAGGCGCAAATTGGGCGGAGAATGAGTTAGCTAAGAAGGGGATTGGGTGATGTAGGGGTCCTTAGAGACTGTTTGTACTGTTGTGTCTTGTTTTGATTGTATTGCTTGGCTGTTTTGGTTGTACTAAACTGGGTTATTTTATATTTCTACTTAATAAAACTTGCGGTATTCTTTTTCTCCTTCGACTGATTGTTAGGCTATCGGTTGATATTCTAACAATTAAGAAGGGAGTTTTTAACGAGACCTCCAATTCTTATAAAAAAAACCATATTGAAAATGAAAGAGAATGGGCATTCACGCTCATAATGTTTAGCCTTCACTGTTAGATTCTCAATTTCCGATATCTCTATTGTTCTTTCCCCCTTCTGATCGCGAATGATTTTGATGAGTTTGTAACGGACATTTTAGTTTCCGTGGCTTTACGTTTCTCTATCCTTTTATTTTCTTGCTAACCAAACAACATCTAGGGCTTTGATTTACTTATCTTCGCTGTCAAGTCACAATCAACGATCTATATGGTTTGACAAAGATGGTATCTGCAATTGTAGTGAAATGGGAAATAACAATAGCCAAGATTAATGTCTTTTAGTTATATTATGGTTAATCGGTTTTGGTATTTGTTATCGTTGATTGGTGTTGAGTTGTGTTTATTGATGGATTGGCAAGGACAAAAGCTAGCAGAGCAGATAATGCAGATACTGCTTTTGGTGTCTGCAGTGGTTTCATTCGTTGGCTGGTTATGTGTTGGGATCATTTCAGATGATGATGCCAGAAAGCCTCTGTTTGGATGGCTGCAGAAATGTCGAAGAAGATAATGTAAAGCTTTATGCTTTAAAACCGTGCCGAAAAAGTGAATTACATGCAGTACAAGACTTGACAAATCCCATTAGCATCAAAGGTTAAGAGGCTAGTATCAAGCTAGCAGATCAAGGTCACAATCTCTTCCATGGAAATTCTAGGTTAGGAACCTTATCATTCTCATTTTTCCCTACAATTGGATCATTTTTCAAGTCTAGGCTATCGTCATCATCTAGTTCGTCTAATTCATCTAATCTTTTTTCCGTGACTGCCTCCTATGTTTCTTTGGTTCCAGCCGGGGTTCAGCTCGCTGAATGCCCATATCTCCCACCTTGTACCTGCAAATGACATCCCAAATTTCAAGTTAGTCACATAAGCCATATCTAGGATGAGAGGTCGGGAAAATACCAAATCGAAGGAAAAGAAGATATGTTGCTTTCTTAAATTATTAACAGTGTGGAACATGACCAGTAGAAAAAAAGGTTTAATGCGATACAAATTGTTTTGGGTAAATCCCACATGATTTTTTGGTTATATAAGTTGTAAACAAAAGAGGGGCATGTCAACTTGAAGGAAGAAACTTGTTTAGAAATGTAACTTTTTAAGATACGGTGGATTTAAGCATTTTTCACTAGACTATTATTTCAGAAGGGATAAAGCAGCTTTTAGTCCTTGAAACTTTTCAGTTTTTTCCAACTTAGTATCTAAACTTGGCACTTTTTTCAACTCAAGTCCCTAACCTTTTATTTTGGTGTACATGCGTCCTTAAACTTGATAATTTCCCCCAATTAATTTCACATTGGTGGTTGGCAACTCTTCCGTTTTAGTTTGATGATGTGGCAGTATATGATTGTGCCACATCATCAAAAGGATTAAAGTGGCCAAAAGTCTAAACTACTAATTGTTTTACATCATAACAGCAGGTGGAGGAGAGGGGTGCACAATCCCATCATAATCCGATGGAAGTGAAAACACAATCGTGAAATGATGCTTCGCACCAATACATGAATGAGTGTTGGTAAGATGGGGAATTGGAGAATGACAAGGGCATGAATCAATGAAAACAGCTCGAACCCGATGCTCATCCACACCGAGATAGTCTGTTACATAACTCTCTACAACAGACCGAGTTAATGGCGTTGTCCACATAAGGCGACCTAAATAATTTGGTGAAGTTCCGGCCCAACGATCAATATGAACACAAACGTAACTTTCCATACCAACTAGTCGCAATTTTCAACAACTTTTGTTTTCTAATTTTCTTCTACCCACCCTGAGTCTACGTCGAAGCCAACGCCAGCACCGCCCCATCAAACTCGGGTCCTACAATAATCCAAAACGCCCATTGGCCGTCAACTTCGTCTCCACTCCACCACCATCTTCCTTCACCCCCCAAAATAAATATATTAATATATCCCCAAAACAAAACAAAGCCGACTCACTTAACAAACACAATTACGTCAATACCACAAACAACCGACAGTCCGGTCCATTGCGTCCTGGACTTTGTTTGGTTGCTTATGGCGGAGGAAAGGCGGCCGCCATGGAGCACAAACCCAGAACTCCAATCAATCACTAACATTCCCAGGTCTATGGCATGGATGAAATGGAATCTCATTCAAGTTGATTTTTTTTCTTTTTTAAAATGTCATTTGTTCATGCAAATCTCTCATGAAAACGCCACATTACCGATCGATTCGTTGAAATTAACGGTCAGTAATTAAAGTTGATCGTGTGGAATGATATTGGGAGCACGGAAGTCAAGGTGATGAGCCTATTCTAGAGGGATAAAATATGAAAAATTTGTTACTACAAGACACAACCCATCCTTCTCTTTTCTCAACTTGAGCTATACTTTATCGCCTTGGCACGAACTTTTAAGACAGCCTTGTTAATTTTTTATTCACCTCTATTCTCTCAAATTGTGAATTTAAAACTCATAAGAGTAAAGTTTTCGTCCTTATGGTTCTAACACATATTCGCATTTGCAGCTGGAGCAAACTAGCTGACTTGAATGTAGCTCGCTATGATTTTGCTTGTGCGGAGGTCAATGGTGTGGTTTACGTTGTTGGAGGATATGGGGCTGATGGCGAGAGCCTCTCCACTGCAGAAGTGTATGACCCCGACGCAGATAAGTGGACCCTTATTGAAAGTCTACGCCGACC